TTTTATCATTTGAATGAACTGTCTATAATATAATCCTGAAAAAACATTTTTTGAAGCATTTTTTGAGCAGTAGCAACAAAAAGGAACAGATTTTGAGGAAAAATGCCTTCAAATTTTAAATTTTTCCCTGTGAGCTAGCAGTGTTTTTGTTTCTTTCCAACTGGGAAATCTTAATATACAAATACTACTTGAAGTTTCCTCTTTATAGTATCACAAATTACTCAATAAATTTACATAAAATTAAGATTCAGACCAAATATTAATGTATTATCATAACCATCAAGACAAATTATGTCATACCTCTGAATAAGCTGATGATATCAGGATGATCCAGGTATCAAAACATAGCTTTTAAAGCAGGAATCTGAAAATGTAATGAGGTCATTTTGACCAAATTTGACTTAATCCTCATTTCAATATGATGGGTCACATATATTATTAGTGCTTTTAAATGCTTGGAAACTTCAAATGAAGTAAGAACATGTCTGTTTTTAAAGAGCACACGTGAAACTCATTTATATTTAAGCAACACTTCTTATGGATTTATTGTTTCGGATAGAAAAACCTTTAAGTTCAAAATGTCAAAAAAGTATTTTAGCAATAAAGACTTTTTGTTAAACAGAAAGAAAAAGAAATCCTACATCCCCCGCTCTGTTTGAGTCCGACACAAAGTGTTCAAAACTTAAACATTTTTAAGTTTTATTAGATTAATTTCTAAATATAGTGAGAACTGCTTGAAAAGTTTAGTGGGAGAAGGGAAAACACCCACAGCTGTGAACTAATCCCCACTCGGTGCTGAGGAACAGAGTCAAACTAAACAAACTACAACGTGTGTTTAACAGTTTTTGGATCAGAACAAAGCTTTATGATCCAGAGGATTAATAAAACCAGGCTGCCTGCTACACTCCTTCATTTCTTTGAATTTAGCTCCACTGCTGAAACACAAACCCGAGTTGTTGGGATTTACTCCGGAACACTCTCAACACAAAGTGATGAATTGCGGAGAAGGCGTGGAGTGGAGGGAAGTCTGCGGCCGTTTGGATGATGGAATACCTGCACAGAGTTCAGAGCACTCTAACGCAGCCAACACTGCTGCTGCAGAGACGGTGGTGAGGTGGAAGGTCGCCTCATAATCCAGAACAGATAGTTGAGATTTGCCACGCTGGCATGGAAACCTTATGAACATGCTAATGGGCCTTGGCACGAGCCAAAAAATCCAAACTGGGAGCTTCTGCTCATTCGCAGTCAGGCCATGAAGGTCGTTCCTCAGACATTTTTTTTAATTTATTTATTGGTCAAAATGTGCTCTTGCTCCCACACGCTGCTTTATTTTGCAGGAAAAGCTGTRGCAGGAAGACCGTCCCGGCGCATGGCGAGTGTTCCAAATAACACGCGATTACATAAATTGTCAGTAACGACGCAGCGGGAACAACGTCTGTGACCTGCAGAGGTCRACCATTAAGCCCTGCCGGCGGAAAAACAAAAACACCCTCAGTGCAATTTTACAGCTTTAACGTGACCAGGTACATGCAAAGAGACAAGCGAGAGGTCTGAGGGGGCGCCGCGCCCGTCGCGGGGGTCGCACGCAAAACATAACAATGATAGCCAAACGCYGCCGACAAGGAGGAAATATGGACTTCAGAAGGACTGTAAACGCATGAAGAAATAGATGTAAGGGTCATTTTACTGAGCAGCACCATTAACACTGCTGCCCTTGTCTGGAATGAAGCTGGGATCAGCCTCACACACACACACACACACACACTTTCTCCTCTTTTTACATTTCTCCTCTTTTCGCCCTCAGAGACGGAGAGGTCGACATTTTAACTGCGGCGGTGAGGAGATGGCTTCCTTTCACCTTGACGGGCATATAATGAACATTTTTCATTTTGAGCTTAGCTTCACTTACAGAGTCAGTCAGCTATTTTCTCTTTGAACCTTTTTTTTCCCCTCTTCTGACATTTCCCTCTGTGGTTTTGCCAGGATGATCTTCACAGTAAATTTGTGCACCTTTTAAAGAAATAGGTTACATTTCTGTTGATTTTTCTTTTTTTTTTTTTTTCAAAGCCTTCATTTCCATAAAGGTCCCCCCGTATAACACAAATAGGCCTACGGTGCAGCATGAAACACAAACAAAATGCTAATCACACCTGTTTCAATTAGAGCCCGGGTATCCATGAAATCCATATCATTACCTGCTCTTTGTTTTGCATTTTGCATGAGAAAAGAAAAGGCTGCGCTTTGAAGCAATGAGACAAAATATTTGACTGATGGGTGAATGAATACACATCATGGAATCTGAAAACTGAGCTTTATGTCAACCAATGCTGCAGACAGAGCAGACGTATGCATTTAAAGATTGGCAAAGGTGAACACAAACACATAATGAAACAAAAAAAAAAAGGCAGAAAATTACTGCTTTACACATCTAAAACGTTGAGAATAACTGCACGTCTTTGAAGTAGAACTTCAGTCTATTTCCCTTCAATTGACTGCAGTCAACAACATGAAGAGCAACAAAATGTGCTTTAAAACTTAGACAATAGATTAACGGCTACACCTCACAGTCAGACGGCTGCTTTCAAAGGAGAAAGGAAGCTGTTTTTAAAGCCAACACAGAAATCAGCAGCAGCCTGTTTTCAGAGGACTTGGCAGTTTTGGCAGTTTAGTTTAGATCAAACAAGTCATTATTTTATTCAAAAGGTGGAGCGATAATACTCCTGCTCATGTCTGAATGTACAGCTGGATTCATTCATCTCATGGAACACTGAATAAATTAAAGGGAAACTTTCAGAATACATTTCCATGTGTCTGCAATTCATTCATGTCTGGACTCAGCCCAAAAACTAACTTTTACAAATATTGAGCTAAATGTTTGTCTAATATCTGAGCATCTTTTTCCATCCATCCTTTGACTGGTTAAAGTTACTGATGATATTCTCATGGYCTCAGACAGTGGACTTGTGTCCATTCTTGTCCTGTTAGATCTCAGTGCTGCATTTGATACAATCGATCACAATATTTTATTACGTAGACTTGAACTTGATATTAGGATTACAGGAAAAGCTCTAAAATGGTTTGAGTCTTATTTAACTGATAGATTTCAGTTTGTTAATGTTAATAATAAATCTTCTTCTTACACCAGAGTTACTCATGGAGTTCCTCAGGGTTCAGTGCTTGGACCAWTCCTCTATGCTTCCTTTAGGTAAAGTTATTAAACAGCATGAGATAAATTTCTATTGTTACGCTGATGATACTCAATTATATTTATCCATGAAATCTGATGAATCCAACCAGTTACTTAAACTACAAGCATGTCCATGTCCCAATTTCCTCTCCACCTTCTGCTCAGGATGGGAGACTGTGATGAAGTGATTCAACACGATCTGCTGGTTTCTTCTTTAGATTGTTCTTTTTATGTACAGTGCCCTGAGACAATGTATGTTGTGATTTGGTGCTATATAAATAAACTGAACTTGAACTTGACGTTTATCCTTGGTTAGATCACTGAAACAACAGGTACAGAAGCAATAATATGTGACGCATCACATAAAAATGAGGATTAAGTCAAATTTGGTCAAAATGACCTCATCATATTTTCAGATTCCTACTTTAAAATCTGCATTTTGATACTTAGACCATCCTAATATCATTAGTAGATTCAGAGATATTATTTAATTTGTCTTGTTGGTTACGATAACATATGATGAAATTATGTC